CACCTCAAATGAGGAGGTCAAAAACCTCCTCGATCAGTTTTTTGCCAGCAAAGACCAAAAATTTTATGAGCGTGGAATTATGCTACTACCAGAAAGATGGCAAAAGGTGTTGGACCAGAACGGTCAATATATAATTGAATGATTAAATGATTTCGATCTATATCCGTCTTTCAACCCATAAAATTTTCTCCTTCTATATCTAATAAATAATGGGGGAGATTGGAGGAATTTGTTGTTTACTTACGTGTAAAATTAGCCAACCATTTGAGTGGAATGATGGCGATGTCGTGATGTTGTGATCGGCTGGTGTTCAAATATTCGGGATGCACGATGGGTTTCCCCGTCCTGATCAATTGGGGTGGATCGGCACACACCAGTTTTTCCCCGTGCTTCTCGCAATCGATACTTTCGTGCGTGTTGTGTTCCCCCAATTGCACTTGGTTTCTAATTTTCGAAAACGTCGACAATTAAAACAAAATTATAACTAATTAAGGTGGTAATCTTACATCGGTCCCAGGGGTGCCAACATGGACGACGAAACGCAATGAGCGGCGGTTAAAACGTATTTCGCTGCGATTAGGAATCCGACGCACCCGTAGCTCCTGAGACCGTTCGGTGCCTTGTGTCTTAATCTCGCTAACCACGGGAATTCCCCGAGAACCGCCTCCGATCCACCAAATATCCTATTGGGAAAAATCATCGGCTGTTTGCCGCATTCCTTCGGGAACGGGTCCACATCCAACGGTTGCACTGGCGCTTCGATCACGTCCGACGCCGCTTCTGCATCCCCTAATAAATTTTGTAAAAAAAATTTTATTTCTATTATTGATTAGGTGTTATTATAAACATTTTGTTTTACCTCGTATTATAAAATCGGAATATCGTCCACAGCAAACTTTATTAGTCTGGGGGTTGGCATTGCCAGGGGTGCAGTCCGATTCGTCGATAAATTCCTGTTTCGATTTTACATTCCTGTACTTGGCTAATACTTGGCATTCACTAATGTCAATGCAAAATCCGTTGTCACCGTTTGGAGTCTTGCACGGGGTTGCAAATTCTAAAACGAAAGTATTTGAAATCCAAAGCGTAAATAATCATAATATTGTTTGTAAAATCCGCCGCTCTATATACTTATCTTTAAGCGATAATAAATGTAAACAATTAACGGAAAATAATTCTGTTTTTCTGATACATACAATATTAAAGATTTATTTACTTACTTGTTGCAAGGGTTTCGTTAAGGTTTATTGTTGTGTCATTTAAATCGGCTTCCGTTACACTGAATAATGTTAAACAAACGAAGAAGAAAACTTGATAGAACGAAAGCATGGTATGCCTGCTAGAGTGTTCGCGTCGAATAGGCGTTCTTGGATTTCCCATCATCGTACGAAATCCCGAGGTCGCACTCTTGACCTTACAATAGGCGATTAGGTAGATACCAATTAGTTTTCTACTCTATTCGAACGTCGGACATCCCACCATTCACAAAACTACATCGTTTAAAACAAATGAATCGTTAAACAACCGAACGCGCCTTCTTGCAATTGTTAGTTCTTTGACGCGAAGCGATTTTTACAGTGAATACATAAAAATTATTAAAAGATGCTCGTACAGTGACTGCTGCATATAGCTTCGCATACGGCTTACGCAAAACTGCGGATTATTTATTTATCAGGCTCTGTAGTTTCTCACAGTTTTCCCCTCCGCAATATTGTTAAATGCAAATATTATCTTAAGCCTGTACTTACAATTAGTATTTAGTATTTTATGTGTGTAATGCGGGTACGATTATTCATTTTCGACATATTGCACACACATCCATATGTACACGTAATAATAAGTTTATTATTCGTGGCCAGTAAGAAAACACGATGTACTTACCACAAAAATGTTATCGACTGTTGTGTGACCCCTGTAGAATATAGAACAAATTTACATAAACGTATGTAAACATGCACTTTTGTACATATGTAATTATTAATTGGCCTGACTCTTACTATTCAGTTTCTATAAGTTAAAGTTTGGAGAAACAATTGCAATGGTCTTTTTTGTTTTTGTGAAAAAACAAAATACTGCGTAGCGAAAATGTTTTTCTTGTTTATGAACGAATATTGTTTGCCTTTAGGTAAAAGTCAAGAAAATTTAAGTTTTTAGTGTTTTATTTTATTTCTTTGTCAATATTAGGACTGCTTTGGATCGTAGATAAACAAGATAAATTGTTAATAGACATGTTTTGTTAGTATTCACGATAAACTGAGATTTAATATAATCAGTTTTTTGAATTTTAATATCTAGTAGAGATATTAGTTCGAGTGCCAGACATAAAAAGTAATGTTGGGTTTAATCACCCAGGTAGGTGCATTATCGTCTGCAAATGCGTCTAGAAAGTGAAGAAAACTTTCTCCGTTGAAAATTTTCACTTCGTGCAGCACCCACTTGGAATCATTCCGCTAAAATATACCCCCGCAAAGTGCACTCGTGATTTCCCGCGTGCACCATTTTGATACAAGCAGTCTTTTGCCTAGAGCAACATCTATAAATAGTTTTCCTGGCGAGCACTTTTTGCCACTTAGCAAAACTTCGCTAAACATGTAAAGTAGGTACATGGGTACAAAGACGTAAAGATGCCCATAAGGGTTGGAAGCATCAGCTAAACTTAATGTCAACTATATTACATTTTCTGAAAGAAATTATCCCAAAATGCCTGAAATACAGACAATGGTACAAAATTTTTAAGTAATTGATAATGAAAAGGATTGAAGAAGATCGTAACATTCGAGATAGTCTGTCCTATAAAATAATTATTAAGGTTTCTTGGAATTGGAAGCTGCAGTGGATAAGGGACAAATAACGAAGAAAATTGTCTTCTCAAATACCAATAAACAGGTATTGATTGACTTGCCTTCGGTCATGTATAGTAACTGACGTGGAAGGAGCAGGGGATGAAAGAGCGCCAATATCCCAACGAGCCTTAATGGATACGTTAGAAAGCAAGTCCTCATTAAACGACGCAAAAGTAGAGATATCGGGTGAAAAAGACAGAAAAAAGGGCCAGAATCAGTATCAAAAGGGACTGCATCGAAGGTTCTCTCGTTAGGCGGCTCCAGTAATTGAAAACGTTCGTTGAAATAAAGACGAAACCTTGTTTAATTACTACGCTTTAAATAGATTCGAAACAAAAGACGTAAGTATTAAAGAAACAAAATATTCTGAAAGGTTGTTGACAATTGAACCACATATAACATAGATTCGAAACAAAAGACGTAGGTATTAAAGAAACAAAATATTCTGGAAGGTTGTTGACAATTGAAAAGCATATAACTAATAACAAAAAAGGATCAAGAATCATTCGTGTAATTACAAACAGAGGTCAGTTTTTCAAAATTTTGGAATTCATACCGAATTATCTGTGCAATCATTAATTTGAAACGTATTTTTAATCATACTAATTAACAAATAAATTAAACATTGCGTCATTTCCAGTAACTTTGTCTCCAGTTTATTTTCAACAAATTGTGGGCATCGCGTGACGCCCTCTGTCAACCGCAAACAGCCGTTCAGCCACCCCATAAATTTCTCCCTATTGTGTAACGTAATGTAATGTTAATCAGGGTACATATTACATTTTAGTCTTGTCACACACGACGTATGATATATCGTGGTCGTTGTCCATTTACCGATTGCGAGACTACAGATGCACACCTACCACACGCACGAAGACAGAAACTCACTGAATCGCACCGTACCGCGGTGGACATCCCCCGCTAGCGTTGGGGGGTAGTCGTTGAAGCGTTAGCGCGGACTTGTTATTTGATATAAGGGAGAGTGGACCGTTCGATTTCCCACCACCCGTTACGCCTTTGGCAATGTGAATTCATCACGGTTCCCCTCATTCCAGGACTTTTTCGATTGGAAAATCGAGATTTTCAATGGGAAAGATTAAAAACCAATAATTAATTGATTGGTAACGCAATTAGAGGCAGCCTCACGTAAACAAAATCGAAGCGGCATTGACAAAAGACAATAGAGAATAGAAAAAAAAGAACAGAAGGAACCTAACTCATCATTGTTTTTGGAACTTCGGCTGTTAATCGTGATGTTACATTGTTATATGTGGGAGAACCGCCTCCCTACTAAACAACGTTTTCCTTCGATATCTGGAGGGTTGTTCGGTAGCGTCCGTCGCGTCGGTGGAAAGTTAGGAGCAGTTTCCATTCTTATTAACTTTTAATTTTGGTTCACTAATTAGCGCCAGTAAATCCGGGGGTAATAAAGTAACGAGAAAAATTAAAACGCTGGCTTACCCCTTTATCTACGGCCTCCCGGGCGTCCGGTTGGAATCCTTGCCTAATTCCCTCGGGAGGCATAAGCGCCGCGGGATTTGTAAAAACACCATATTTCGCCGTTATCAACATCATTATCGGAATTGCACGCCGTCAGGATTTTAGCGGGAACGGGAGCGCTGCATGCAGAGAGAAAGAAGGGAAGAAAAAGAGGAGAGGGCCCTAATCTGCCCGAATTAGCAACTTTTTATTATCCGGCTTATTATATCGGAAACGGGTCCAGATTCAGTACGAAGTCCGTATAATCGCAGGACGTCCAGGATGAAAATTCCTGCGATAGACACACAGTTTATTATTATGGGTTGCTTTTAATTCGTATAGATTTGTTTTTAATCTATATATCGAAGACGCAATTAAAGGCAGGACAACTTTAAGGATAGATATACAGGGAAAAAGGATTAGTAAGGGAAGAAAAAGTAGGAATAGAGTGGATAGAAAAAGATAGGAGACGAAAAATTTGAAGAAGTCGCGGATTATTGGTATCTAGGAAGTCAGGTAACTCAAAATGCTAAAAATGTCAATAAGAAATAATGGCTAGTTAGACATATTAGAAGCATAAGCAGGAGTCTAATTCGATTCTAAACTCAAAATATATTATTAGTAATCAATTAACTTACTAAACGTCAGCATTCGTAGAAGCGTTTCCGCAGTTGATTGTTGTTTGGTAACTCATCTTCATCATAAGGTCGTCAGTCCTGAGACTGGTTGGACACGTACCACCACTCTTTCCTATCCTGAGTAAATCTTCGCATTTTCCTAAAGCTAAAACAGCCCACATCCTTAACTATTTGCGAACAGTAATCTAATCTAGGTCTACGTCTACCCCTCCTAACTCCTGTTTCTGCCTCTAATATGTCTCTGATTAGATCTTCATGCCTGAGAAGGTGTCCTACCAACCTATCTCGCCTATTTTTTATTGACATCCATAGAGTC